GATATAGTTATAATATTATTTTCCTATTCAGAACTAGATGTTATATTGAAGTTTTTTGGAGAGGTCTGGTTTATTTTTTCAATATCAAAGTTATTTTTAAATTCTTTTTTATTATTATTATTATTTTTATTATTTTTGTTTTGATTTTAATTAGCTTTTTTATTATTTTTAATAATCCTATTAGACTTTTTAAACTTATTCAACTCTTTAATCACTTTATATAGTTTTTTATTTGATTTTTTATTGTTTTTAGATGAGTTTTTAGACTTTTTATAGTCTTTATTATAAAGTTCTGAGTGCTTTTTAAAGCACTTTTCCTTTAAATACCCCTTTTTATTGCAAAAAGTACAATTTGAAATAGTATTTTGTGGTTTTATAACTCTATTAGACTCTATAAAACCTTTCATTCTAGATTCCTCGAATATTAATTCAGATATTAGCTTATCTAAATCAATATTATTATTATTATTTAAGTCTTTCAAAAGTTCTTTAGTCTTTCTTAATTTAAATAAATCAAATAAATTGTTTAAACTATTAAATATAATCCACATTATATAAGCTTTTTGTAATTCAAATTTTAACTTTTTTAAGTATATATAGGATAAGAGTATATAGTTTATATATTCATTTATATTACTAAAATCATTATAATTTGATTTTATTAATCTATTAAAATATCTTTCTATTATATCAAAAAAAGTTTCATTATAAATTTTATTTATAATATTCTAAAGCTTTATTGGACTAATTTCATTCTTAAATCTATCAACTAAATCCATCAATATTATTGATTTTAGTGTAGTTAAAGCTTTTTTGGATTTATCTTCATATTCTTTCAATTTTTCACTATATTTGAAGTAAATCTCTTTCGAAATAGGCATATTATTATTTTTAAAATAATATTTTTTTTCAAAGCCTTTTTCTGAATTATTTATATAAAGTATAAAACCATTAGTCTTTAAAAAAAGCTTGGATTTTTGATACTATTCTATATAATTAGAACAATCATTCAGTTTAGAACCAATATATTTGATTCCTTGATTTATATTCATTTTTATTTTATATAAATATATATATATAGTATAATAAGTACTATAGAATCAGAATCTTTTTATAGGATTTTTATATTTTATGTTTATTAATATGAGATATTAGATTTTAATTGTTATCTTTTAATCTAAATCTATATAAACCTTTATATATAAGTCTATTCAAGTTAGGACATCTTTATATAAGATATATTACTATATGATCCGATATGGATAATATATATATATATATATATAGCTTTTAGAGATCTAGTTTTTAATTCAACTAGATTTAATTTCAAAAACATAGGTTTATATAAGAAGACTAAAAAAGCTAATAATTTATAAGAATATATATATAGAAATAGAAATTTGAATTTATATTGTTATATATAATATTTCTTTGAATACAGAGATTTGAAGTAATTGTATTCGATTTGCCTTTCTTCTTGCTAAATTGAATATTAATTTGATATTTTCATCCTCGATTTGAATTAGATTTAAATTCGAATTTAGCCCCTTTTCAATATATACATTCTAAAAATAGATTGAATTCCAGACTTCTTCATTAATAAGATTAGGGTTCCCACTAATAGCCTTTATATTGTAATTATAATATACAACTAAATTATAAATGAAATTAGATATATTTAGTATATCTATATAATCCTAGCTTTCGTTTTTTAATATTATTAAATGGTATGAAATTCTTATAGAGTATATAATAAATTGATATAATTTGTTTATAAAGATTTTTCTTTTTTTTTTATATTGTACTATATCGTATTCCCTATTATCTAACGTTTTTTTATATCCTTTTACTATCTAATCAGGGTAATTTTCAACTACTTCCATATATATATAATAAATTAATAATATATATAAGTATATATAGAGTTCATAGATGTATATATAAATCAACAGCTATATACAAAGCATATTTAGAATTTGTAGATGTATATATAGATTAATAGTTATATACAAAGTATATTTAGAATTTACAAACATATATATAGATCAATAGTTATATATAAAATATATTTAGGATTTGCAAATATATATATAAATTGATAGAATATATAGATCGATAGGAGTATATAAGTCGATAAGGGAATATAGATAGGAATTAATGATTAGCTTTATACCTCCGGTAAGGTATGATATTTAACTCTACTATATCCAGTGACATATAGAAAGGATTAGATTTAGGGTTAGGTGTATGTCCGGTGATGTATAGTATCGATATGGTATACATATGCCAGTAATTTGTGATATGTTTTTGATAAGGTATAATATTGATATTAATATATCTATAACAATGAAATATAATATATATATTAGTATATTAATAGCAGTAAAATATAGTATATATACTAATATATTTATGACAGCGAGGTATAATATCAATACTAGTATACCTAGTATAGTATAGTATTCTTTTTTATTTATACTATCTAGTAGTATGATAAGGGTATGGTATAATATATATATATATAGGCTAAGGATTCGAAAAAGGATTCGAGATTGATACAAATTTGTATTAATATATAAATATATTTAGGTGATGTATATAGCATCTTGATTAAATGAATATATATCAATTCAATAGAATTTAGACGCGATTTGATGAATGTTTGAATTTTGGTTACTTTTTTGATTATTTTTCAATCATACAACCCTTTCTTTGCTTTTTCGAATTGAATATCGATATATATGTATTATATTTAATTGTATATATGAAATACCAGGCTCATAACCTATTATAAATTATAAGCTAATATATAAGTATATAATATATATAATATATATAAAAAATTAGATTAGTATTAATTTATTATAGAAAGCTGGCTTATATTAACAATTAAATAACTTATGAAATATATAATTTTTATAAAATAATATATAATATTCCTTTTTTTTTATTCTATATTTAAAAAGAAAAGACCTTATTTTATACTTTTTCCTATTAATCTAATTTTTATTATTATAGATCTCTTCCTTTTCCAATTATTCTATTAGATACAACTTTTTTTTTTATTTCTTATTTGATTTTATTGAATTATATCAACCTAATTATATATAAATTGAAAGAACTAATAAAGAATCGATTTTCCAATTATTCTGGATTAAAAGCCTTAAATAACAATCATATAATATAATTATATAACTTAATTATATAATCCTATAATTCGCTCCTAATATACTATATAAATATAGAATTATATATATACATATATATATAAAAAGATATATTATTATATTATTTTTATATAAAAACAATAATATTTATATAATATTATTCGTTTCTTTAATCTTATTTATATATGAGATATCAAGAAATAAATAATATTTATATATTTACCGAGTATTAGTATTTAAAAACTATAATAGAGATATATTTTATAATTAATAGATTAATATATTAAGAAATAAACCTATTATTATATATTATTATTATTAAAATATAGAAACTCTTATAATATTATATTATTTCTCTATACGATTCATAAAGAAATAATTAATATTGAAAATCAATTTCAAAAATAGAGTACTTAAGTGTATAAACAAGGGTATTTACTTTACAGGAATGACTTTAATATAATGAATACTATATTAAAGATATTAGGTGAATATGAAAGAGACTAGCTCTTTCAGTAGTGTCTATATAAGGCCTACTATTTTCCTACTTAGCTAGCTCTTTAGATTAAATACAAATAGATATTTAGGGGCCTACTAATAGTAGGAACTACGTCTTCCCTATCTTTCTCGAACTATAGTACTAACGCACTGCTACTAGCCGCTCGTTAAAATCGCACCTGAAATAGCCATTTTACTACTTTTATTTTATAGTTTTAATATTTTTCAAATTAAATTTGTTTTATAAAAAACTATATATTTTAATTTAAAATCAATTAAAATATATAAAAAATCACATATTTTATTTTTAATAATTTTATATGTTATATAATATACAATTGAAATTTGAAAAAGAAAAAGTTATTAAAAGGATTTAAATTTACTAGTAAAATAAGCGAAAATCATGAACTTTTATAAATTCATTTTTCAATAATATAAATAACAATTTAAATCATTTCAAAAAGCTTTGAAAAGTTGATTTTATTAAATATCAATATCGAAATAATATATATAGCGAAATTCAAATAAAATAATTTATTCAAAGTAATTGATTTTATATAAATCAAAAGTAGTAAAACGGCTATTTTAGGTGTGATTTTGATGAGCGGCTAGTAGCAGTGCTCGGTGACGTAACATTAAGATCATTACTATTATAGAAAACTAGAACTATAGTAATATATATATAAGACCTCGAGATAACGCCTTGCTAGCTAGACAGATTTTATATAATTATAGTTTCTTTTTAAGTAGGTATTCAATCTACATCTCGATGATATAGTTATAATCGAGTATTATATCTATATATTAAATGAGCGAATCTTATTCGAGTAGTCTGTCTTATTAGACCTAAACCCTTTAAAAGGTCTTCGATGTCATTCATGTAAGATCTTACTTTATGACTCTTGAAAATAGGTAGACGCCACTCGAGTCACCATTATGAGAACTACTGACAAGAAATTTTGACAGTTGATCAGGTGTAAGAGTCTCGGTGGCGAAGAGGATTGCGTGCCTTCATTTAGGCATCTCTATTTAATCCTTACCCCCACTCATCGTATATCATATATGCTGACATGGAGATATATTCTCCTATCAAATTTCTAAAGTTAGTCATATCTTCTATGTATCTAGTTAATTTTATAATCTTACCTTTTCTCTATCTCTGAATTTTATAAAGACTGGTGTGCGCAAAAACTTGTTTATATGTCCCGCCCCCTTTCATACGATATTCAATTACCGAAAAACTACAAGCTTCATTATCAAAGTAACTTCCTTCAACTTTTTTCGTCGTGATACAAATGTTACCCACTTTCCATCTCCCAAGATTGTACTCTTACAATGGAAGTCGATAATGAGCCCAAAACCTCCTCACCAGTCCCCCAATTGCAAACCTCAAAACTCAACTTTCTCGACCTCACTATCGAGATTCGTCTCAAAATATACGAGGAACTTCTCGTTGCTCCAGAACCATTATCTCTTATTTTCACTTCAAGTCCAGGTGATAAAGCACAATTAATAGCCGTGAGAGAAGATGGTGATTGTCTCACTCCCCAACTATTACGAGTCAGCAAACAAATACATCACGAAGCGACTTCTATCTTGTATAGCAACAATCAATTTCACCTCTCACGTTTACATGAAGAATTCGGAGATCGTCAGATGCCATCTAATGAAGGCGTTGTTGAATTTCTTACCCAGATGGGAAATTACAACGCAAGCTTGATTCGGCATCTGGGAATCTGTTTTCCATTAAGTAGGAACGATTCCGACCCGGACCCGGTGAAGAATCAAGCTCTGGACTTCATTCACGATAAGTGCACTAGTCTTACGACTGTGAGAATCTTGCTGTGGAACAGTTTCAATCTGGATCGAAGTGATAGGGGGGTGAAATCGGATGAGGCTGGTAGTAGCATTCTCTTTGCAGAAGATTTGAAGAGAATAGATGCGCTGTTGAAGAGAAGTTCTTCGCTGAAAGAGATTACCCTCGACTTTTGTATTTGGGAACCTTGCGAAATATTGGAAATTGATGATAAGGTGAGACAATTAATACATGATTGTGGTTGGAAGGTTCAGGTTACGAGGGAGGAAGAGGAACATGTCTGTGAGCTTGGTGCATATACTTTTTTTGACTAGTCGTATGGTGGAAAGCATTACAAGAGGGCCATGAATAGTATTGGAATCGAGGTTGACCGTTTTGAATAATGAAAAAATGTGTGTGTGTATGTGTGTGTGTGTTTGTATGTGTGTTGAATCTCCAAACAGTCCAGAGGGAGAAGCGATTCACAGCGAAAGGATAAGTTAGAATAAACGACCACTATTAGATACTGTAAACCCTTGGTTTGCAATATTATAGTGAGCATCATAAATAATGAAAAGGATACATTAAGAGCCAGACTTTAGTATCTATCACAGGCACCTAGACATGCTACTTGCGTTACTCCCAGACCCCAAAATACTCCTTCGCTATCTAAATCAAAATCCATTACCTCCATTATAATCCCCCCCCTACAGTTTTATTTCAATAATCACAAATAAAGATTTCCACGCTTACTCTTCAACAATGCATCCCGTATGTGTTATCTACATATGCTGACCTCAAAATCATCATATCGATTACAAGTCCCCGCTATGCCGCAACCCCGCATCACAATTGCCAGGTTCGCATGAGGAATGACGGATGAGGCTCATAAGACAGGGATTGAATCGAATGTAGGGATCTACATGTGATGGAATTAAGGTTATTTCCACCACTTATGAAAGATAGATAAGATGATAGGCTATGAATAGAGGAAGCGTTGGCTAGATTTTGAATTTTTAAGACATTATTTCTCTATGGATGGATTGATCGGATGGATGGCTTCGCGGGTAGAAGATGGATGGGTAAGATAAAGTTGGATGACGAAAGGAGGCGAGAGGAAATGTATGAATGGAGCTATTCACGAATTCGAATCACCCATTCAGTGATTTAACCATTGTATACATATGAGTCATAAAAGTTCCACCAAAGAAGGAATATATATATTCATGCTATCCAGAAACGAAAGATAGATAGACATAAATTTGCGTGAAGAACAAAACATCGCTTCCTCCGAACCCACACCCAACTGCCAGACTCCAACTACAATCTACTCACTCCAAACTATCAATTCCAATTCCAATTCCAATTTCAATCACCTACACCTACACCTACACCCATACAATCTCCATCCTCGCATGACAACTCGCAAGGAATCTCCCTTTAAGACGCCAGATACTTAACCAGACTTATACAATGTAATCAAAGTAGGATAGACATTGATATTCGCACTATACACCGCTTGACTCTGTCCATTTCTCGTAATCATATTCGTGGTGCCAACAGTAGCTAAGGTGTAGATGTTGACATGTGAGATTGTGCCTTCGAGACTGAAAATATTGCTTTGACAATTTTCGGGGCCACCGGCGTTGGAGCAAGCTGTGAGGTTTTAGTATGTATGCATACATATGGTATGGTTCATGATAGTAAAGGGTGAAGTTTAGTAGAAGACATACTGGTAGAATAGTTATCAAAGAATGAGTAAAGTCCCGCTCCATATATAAGAATGTCATGAGAATTGATGATTCTCAAGCCCCAAGCTGCAGCACAGTTGCCGGAAGAACCCGCACAAGAGGTACTAAAGTTAGGATCATTGAGGGATGAAACAAGGCTAAAGGGTGCCGGGGCAAGTGGTTGTGGTTGATAGTATCTAAATATTATTAGTCAAGATGATACAAACAATGGTTTAAGGATCTTACGGTGTTTCGGTCTGGAGAAAACCAGCAAATATGTTCTTTGTGTTGGCGAATTGATATTGGTACAAAGTGAAATGCTCAACTCCAGTACCCCAACTGCCAATTGTTAGCAAGTTTCCATGTCATTTCCAGAAAGATAAACTTACAGCCAGATTTGTCCAGCAGTACTCTCGATATATAGACCTCTTCCTGCATAGATGTCGAGTTGTCTCAAAGATTGATCATCAAAATCATGATCAGCAGTCCAAATCCATGAATTTTCCATGTACAAGCCACTGGCACCTGCTGTAATATGCATACCCATATAAGCAGCAATGCAATTCGAATTGATCGTGGTAGTGGCTGGATTTTTCTCGCATTGAGCAACTTGTAGGTTCGATCCTGTGAAACCACCAATTCGTGTGTGTACGTCCCACATTCCAGATGGTGTTGAACCGGAATTCGCGAGGTTCCATTCGATCAACGTTGCACCAGCTTGTTGACCTTGTGTTGAAACCAAACAATCACTCCATTCGACATGTCCCGTTTGACCAGCTGTTCCAACTCGTACGACTGGTTTTGGACTATTCATATCATTGAAGAAACTGCCACTTGACAAGATGGTTGAATATGATTCGCCTACAATTTTTGAACCAGGAGGAATTGTTATTGTGCTTGTCACTTTGTAAGTACCTGCATCTATGAAAAACACATTCCCAGCGCTTGCTGCATTGTTGATTCCGCGTTGCAATGCAACGGTATCATCGGTCATACCATCTCCAACTGCACCATTTGCCCTTGCGCTCGTGAATGATGAGACTGACAAGCCATTGTACTGAGGTTTCGATTGAGTGTAATATTTGTTTCCACTGAGTAGAGATGCGGGTCGACTGTTTGGAGTGATGGCGCCTTGGAAATCAGAGTGACCGCTAGGAACATATTGGCGGCCTTGACCCCACCCAGCAATGGTCGTGCTTCCACTTGTACCAGCTAAGATCGTCGATCCACCACTCAAAGTGACGGCTGTGGGAACATTACTGAGTGCCACATTTTCAAGTATGAGACTACCAGCTGTGTCCGGTGTCGCATTGGGTGTGTAAGCAGTTATGATTCCGATCGGAGTGTTGGTAATTGAGCTGTCAATTAAGATAACAGATCCCACATTTTGGGCACTTGAACCTCCTGCCGATATGTCAATTCCTTTTTGGCAATTGTTGATGCTGATGCCGTGGAACAACCATCCCCAATCCCAAAACATGCTAATAGCTGTAACACAGTTATTAAAAACCAAGTTTCGCATGGTAAATTGCTGGTTCCCAATGGCAGCACCAACAAGACCGCCGTTGAAGGTAACATCAACTAAAAGTCCAGCAGAACCTTTTTTATCGTTAGCATGGAACTACCTAGATTTTCTTTTTTACTTACCACTTTCACAGAAGAGACCAGTATGCTGAGTTCCTGGAGCAGAGCTCATTTGAAACACAACATTTTGTAAACTTGTTGCTTGGGAAGTTGGCCAATGCAGACCTGTAGCTGTGGTTGCAGCTGGAATGCTAGTCATATCAAAGATTATGTTGCGAATTTGCCTCAAGAATACATTGGTGGAGCCCCAATTAAGGACGGGGGAGTAGTATGGATTTGCATCGATCAAACCGAAACCAACAAAATTAGGTGTGGCTTTGAGAGTCGGCAAGTTGTTTGGGTTACCGATGATTTGAGTGAAGTAGTAGTCTATTATTGATGATGATATCAAGTAGGTTCCAGATGGGAAATAGACAACTGCGGGTGTAGTTGATGTAGAGGAACATCCTTGACCACATCTTCCACCGGCACTGATAGCCGCATTGATAGCCGCAGTATCATCGGTCACACCATCACCTAGATATTGTTAGCAAGGACCCTCGGTGACTGGATAAACTTGCCTTTTGCTCCATAATCTTTCACGTTGCGATAAACTTGATATCCTGAAGGACCCCATGCGGATTTTCCTTGATGTGAGATTTGTTCGTACCAATAAGGGGTCGCACGAGGAATGATCTGGGACATGTCTTCCTTTGCTGAGATGGCTGCCGTGTCGGAGTGCTTTCCTTTGTTGTGCACATATGGTGCGAACTTGTTCATGACCTTCGTCACTACCTTTTCGACTTGAGGTATCTTGAACTGCATACATGATGACTGAAGCACCAGGGAAAGTAAGACTACGCTTTTGATCAAGTTCACCATGATGAAGGTTTGAATTGTGTAGTGAAAAATTGGGATAGAGAGAAGATTTGAGGTTGATCAATGGGAAATTACCGATCATTTATATACAAAATATCGAGTGTGCTTACATGCACCCAGATGCACCATTTTTGTGGTTTGTCCAAAAGGAGAAGACGAAGCCGCTGCAAGAGTAAGAGCTTAGTTTAATCTGTATTAGTTAGAGCATTATTGAGACACTTCTGTATGTTTTCCGGCCTTTCTCAAGGACATTATCACGAGCTTCCTTACAAGATTTTCTGTACGACGGGAGCGTCTTGTACAATTTCGGACCCCATCAGTAACATGTGAGGATTTCCAGCCTCATGATCATTTAACATGAGATGTGGTTGATATTAGCTTGTGCTTAATGCGGATTAGGAAAATCTGGGATTCGGATTAATCCAACAAGCGGGCCCAGTGATGTGGTATTCTGGATAAAATGCTCCGAATCACTGCCGAAAAATGGCCTTGTGAGCAGAATTCGACCAAGCGGAAAATCAATCCCAAACAACAAAAATCTAGATTCATCATGACAAGAGAATTTAAGGCAATTCTGACAACTCAAGCCACGAGCGAGCCCATACAAAGACGGAAGGAGATTTTAGATTTACCACGTGTAAGATAATTTTCAGGATGTACTTGCATAGCAAGATTTTCTGAATTTGGTAACGGCCGTTCTCCGGTCCGATCTATAGTCGTACAAACTACCACGGGCCTGGCTAAACTTGTGGTTCGCATGTATTCTGTAGACTCTGCATATTTTCTCTGCAAGTTCTGCATATTCTGCATGCTCTTTATGGCGGGGTAAGAATCTGGGGATGTTGGGGATGGTGGCTTGTGGGGAAGCTCGTGATCACCCCAAAATGACAACTATGCCGTAATTGGGTTACAATCAAAGTAATATTAAAGATGCAGCTACAAGGTTTGACAAGATTCGTGAGATGTCGCCAATCTTCTCCAGCCTGCCCTGAAAGCCATCGAAGCCAAAGAAACATGAGTATACCAGGATATGAAATTTGCCGAATCTGAATATCATTGGGTTTTAACCCTTGAGGCAAGTAAGTTTTGTAGAACGCGAAAATTCTACCAGATCACATTCCGCCCTGCGCAGGCTTTTTTCCTTCCCTCTTTTTTCTTTGATAATTCGGCCTCGGTTCTAATTTACACGAAAAGCTGGAAATCCATTGATGTGTGTATATCGGAGCCTCAAGGGCCGAAGGACTTTGCAATTTCCGCTAATAACTATCTGCATATGCAGAGTTAAAGGGATCTCTGAGACATATTTTCATTTAGACCGAGGCCGTACTGGATGAAACTACCATAAGCCCAGGAGAAATGTCCCCAGTAAAATCAACGAAGATGTCGCAAAGTGAGCTAACGACCCGAATATTCATTTCCACAGTGATAAATTAATCTCTTCATTTGTTGCTTCTTGCTTACATATCAAGCCTCCCGAGCCAGTTCGGCAGAATATGCGTTGTATTCTATCCAAAAAGTGATGTAATTGGTTACACGGCCCGATGCGAGGGGACGGCGCCTTTCGCATATTGATAGTTTTGTATCGTCCTTAATCGACCGGGTGAGAACAAAGTGAATTATCGCCCAGCCGGGGCTGTCAGAATTGGTTCCAAAACAACCCGATGAGGTAGCTTTGCGCCGTTGATTCAACTCTAACTGACCGAGACGAGATGAAGCTCGGTTCAGCGCTCAACATACAGCTTGTCATCCTGTTACCAATTGACGGAGTGTTGTGAAAGCTAGGTGTAGAGAAAAGGCCAATTTTTGTCTAACGCGACCCAGAGAAGATGGACTGGCGGAGTGACGGCTCTTCTTCCACTTCCAGTATTCCCTGAATCTTTCCTCCGGGCATGCAATTGCTCACATGGCGCACACCTGGGATGCTGCCCCTTTCCAGGCACCAACAACTGCAGAAGAATAATTTATGTGGGCATGACGTTAAAATCAAGCCAGGTTAGTCTTCCGGTAAAACCATCGAGTGTAACAATAGCAGTAGTGAGAATTCAGTCGTTCGAATCCTTGCTTTTGCAATAAAAGTGCCGAAGTGGCAAAGCTGTCAAAAACAAACCAGGAACATTGTCCCAATCTGGAAATGATTCTTTCGATTCTTCAGATGGTTCCTGAGAGGTTACACCTACATCCAATGCTCGTGTCAATATGCCGGAGTTTGACTTCCTATTAGCGCCTCTTATCAATGGCCCGATGACAACCAAAGGCTTAGAGGCCAAAGCCCCCGAGTTCAGTTGTTCTGACGTAATTGTCCTCATACCAACATCTTGATATCGCGCGATTAACATGCGTGAGAGGTATTGCTGCGCCGTTGTGCATCGAACGATCCATGCATAGTTGCGCAGGTATTGCATATCATGTAATGCCATGTTTGATGCATTTATGATTAAATCATCATAGTGTTTGGGCACAATTGCTCGAGCATGCATCGTGTCGCGAAGAAACTCGTCATGATCGGTACGGCAGTTGGCACAAAGACTTTCGATCAATCAACTGAATCGAATGATAAAGCGTCGTAGTAGTTTGAATTTCCGAGGTAGCCATACCCGACGGCTTGGGAAGGATAGATGTACTTTGTTGCTTCACATGGAGTTGTCGTTGTGTTTGTTGGGAACTTCAAATGCGGGGAAAGTCCTCACCACAGTTGGGAGACATTAGGATGACGCACAGACCACTCAACCAACTCTTCTCCCGAAATAGCAATGATACGAGTGAATGAGTTTGCCCAATTGAAAAGATATGTAAATCAGACTGGAGATCATCATTCGCTTGAGACTTATGAGTTGATATGGTGATTTTCTTAACATCTTTCATCGTTTTGACTATGTAGTTCAGGAAAGCATCCTCCCGCAATGATTCTCCACATATACATGTTTTCTATAATTGGTGTTCCTATTCTATTCATGAATATAGCAAAGATCGCTCCCAAAATACTCCAAAGCACCTAAAGGAATATTCACATTTCCTCCTTATACGCCCTCCCATCCTTTGTCACAACATTTGTAACTATGATGTTCATCCTGCCCTTTTGAAAAGCCTCCTCATCCGTAAATTGTTCCATATCATTCCTCGAATTCACAAAACCAAAATCTAGTCCATTCATAGATGCTCTAACACTTCTAGGTGCTGCAACCGCATCATGTAGATCTTCAAATATGATGTCAATGCCCGCGACTAGGCCGATTTGTGATTCTTGATAAGTGCCCAACGGCCATCCTACTCTTTTGAATTTCTTCTGTACAGCGTCAATCATACCTACGAAACGTAACTCTACAGCGTCACCACTATAGGCCATAATTTCGTCTTTGAGATCTTGAAGGTAGGTGAGACCGGTAGTATCAATGAATGTGACTCGCGTGAAGTTGAATACGACGACTTCAAGCCTTGGAAGGAATCTGGTTGGTGTATTAATGTTACTCCTGCGACGGAGGGCGGCAGTTCTTCGAACTCGATAGTCGCTCCATCCATTTCGTTCCGTTGGCCCGTAAGGAGTCGGCTCGTGATAGGTCCAAATAGCTTCTAGAATATCTTTCTTTATCCTCTCCGCGTTCAAGAAAATGAGAGGAGTTTCTAACGTAATGAGTTGCGTGCCTTGAGGTACTAGGCGCCCTCCCTGAAGAGGTATACTCATTCTGTTTACACTTTCAAAACTGTATCTATTTTCGAGATCGTGGGGCTTTAGCGGACTAATCGAGGAGAATAATGTGCGTAAAAGAGTGTAAAGCGCTATATAGACTACCCCAAGCCCAAGAGCAAACTCTAGACTTGTAACCAACGCCACGTTCATGACGACGAAAAAGCCTATGAAATCTGCAAATGAACCTTTCCAGTATGTGAGTGGAATACTGTTTGGAGGTGATATTTCTCCTACAGAGATAAGTATAATTGCACTGGTTGCTGCGGTTGGTATCCACTGGAAAGTTTCCGTCAATACATTGATGGCAAGAAAAACAAATCCGGCAGAGAAAAGCCCACTGAGTGGTGATCTCACTCCAGTTGTTGAATTCACTGCTGATAGAGAAAGAGATCCGGATACTGGCATCCCACCAAAAAAGCCATTCACAATGTTTGCGGTCCCCAGAAAGACGAGTTCTTGCGATTCATCGATTTCATAGTTGTGTTCACGAGCAAATGACTTGGCGAATATCAAATGCTCAGCTATAGCAGCTATAAATACCTAGGTAAAAATTAGAAGATTAGCGTCCGGCCTATTGAGCATTGATCTTGGACTAACTCACGGGGAATGATTTCTTGGCGACAAGCAGAACAATTTTGGTCGGAAGTTGTGGAGATTGTAGGGTTAATGCTACCGTCCCGGCGATGGGAAATTGTGGAATGATGAGATCTTTGTTGACAATGAAGGATATCGCAGTGGAAATAGCAATCACGAAAGCGTTCCGCAAGCTTGACAAGATCCTGATGATACTACTCTTGTGCCCCCACCTTTTACCCATGAGCTTCAGGAGAATGATAATCACTATCGAGGCTACGCCAACAGCCAATGATAATGGCTGAGTAGTTGCAATGTTTTTGGGGATTTGCATTCCTTGCAGCATAAAGTTTTGGCCCACCCCTGATTCGCCTAGTATCAATGGAACCTGGCCTTGAATAATGATTAACGCTGCTGACATTTGGAACCCAACTAGCATAGGAACAGTGACAAAATTTAGGATCCATCCAAGGTTCAGGAGTCCGAATAATAGAGAAAAGGCGCCTATCGAGAAAGAGAGACCGGAGGCAATGAGAGCTGGCGGTATCGGAAGATCTTGGGCAGCAATCGATAGCACAACGGCATTGGTAAGTAGACTCAAAGATGTTGTAGGGCCTGTAGCAATGTCTACAATTCTTAGCATCAAGCAATCTTAAATTCATGTAGAAGCAATACCTTTCGATGTACCCATGAAGAAATAAATGACCGATGGCAACCAGCTAGCAAAGAGTCCTTGCTGCAATGGTATGCCAGCTAACGCTGCAGATGCCAGGGCCTGGGGAATCAAGACCAATGCGACTGTTACTCCAGCAATCATATCGTCCACAAGCCATCTCGGAGCATAGTTCGGGAACCAATGTACGAAAGGAATCTTCCGAACCAAATATTTTCCTGTTGACGACGGTAATGCTTTTATTCCGCGAACAAAGCCCTTTCTTCCCCGAGTTAAGTTTTCATCGTTTTTGAGTCCTTCCTTAATCTCCCGTAGTTTTGTTCCTATCTTTCCCATGGTTCAGACTGCCCGCAGTCACTGCGGAAGAAGAGTCTAGTTCAACTGAATAAGTAAATCATGAGGGGGCCGGCCTCGCAAAATTTTAAAATAAAACCATGAATAACATCATGGTGATGGGAGTCCATGAGGTTTTGTTAGAGCCGTTCAAGGTTCGGAGTTTTTGCATTGTGTGGCTAGATCCACAACTGGTTTTGCTCTCATCTTATCATGTTGATGAAATTTTGACTTTCGGGACGGGGAATGTGGCTGGGTCAGGCAATTGAACTTGTATAGAGTAGAGTCTAGAATAGATAGGTGTAAGGGAATAAAACTATCACAAAATGAAAATGATTGGTCGCCTTAACAACTATAGAACAGAAAGTCTGCCAAGTAGTACCAGAGTTTCAGGAAGGGTCACAATAGTCTGAGCGTGGCAGTTTTTGACCAGGTACATTCGATGTATCTGAGAAATCCCATACATCGACAGAGTAACCACACTAAGTTGCAAAGTGCCATTTTGGTAGAGTTGAGGTCATTTCGAGAACGGATATACACTGCTGTACTCGTAGGAAGATAAGAATTCAGCAGCAGCCGTTCATCAATTGTTGTGGTTCAATCGTACAGGTACGACCTCAACATCTCAAGGAGGCTTCCTCACGTACAGAAACGACTACAGCGGATAAGTGAAATACGGACTTGTAATCAAGTCCGGGGTAACAAATGTTCTAAAAATGCGTACATGGAATATTGAAACACGTGTGAACCTGGGAACACCCTCTATTCGTAGATACTCGCACGGTGCTTCACTGGTTTTACCGATGTTTTACGATTTCGTGTACGATAGACCCAATCAAGTGAAGCAACAGAATCGATGATCTGATTTTAGAACAGCCTTATAGATTTCATGCAGTTTTGGATATTGATATTTTTGGTTCAAGTAGATCCTCGAATTTGATTCTAACCTGTATTGTCCAGTCTTGAATGCTTTCTAACTAGTGCACTTTATTCCTTTTTGAAGTCCCATACAAACATTGCTTTGCTGGTCAGAGACGATGAATGTTACTATCGTCTACTCGTCCTATGTCGCGAAAAAACCCACAGGGTTATCGTAGCACTCCAACAAGCAGATAGAAGACTTCGTGAAACTTTGTAGTCACAATTGCTCTAGGAATACTGCAAATCAAACAGACTCAACTTTGAGTTTTCGAATGGTCATTAAGGGCAGATTATATAATCGCTCGTATGGAGAAAATGAGAAACGATGCAGGAATTTGACAATATATTGTAAACGACATCGGCAACTGCGCCAACTTTCCCCCTGGGTATGTAGTAGCTGAAATGAATAAATATCATCCCTCCCCTAAATACTGAAAGTGGGTCAATCACTCGACTGCCTCGACACAGGTTAGCCCACGAGAGGATGCTCGTTTGGCATGTATCAGGGTCGTGGATGGAGTACTGATAACCCGGAGGACATGGTTGAAAGAACCTAATCAATCCTATTGCTTGTGAGGTTATCGTCTTGTACTCCGTGTTGGAGAATTCAGGCCTTCCTTGATCGAGATTTGGTCCTGCAGTGCAATCCAGATTTTGGCACTCTAGATGTCCCAGTCATCAACGACCTGCTGTGTTGCAGTAAGCCAATGTTATTGCGATCTGTGTTTCTTTGTCTCAGGGGTATCTCATATGCTGATGACAATGTAGAATGGGAATGTGAGATGGCTAGTGTTTTGTTGTAATAAATTGGATGTTTTGGTTTCTTATCGAGTCGATTTGATATAAGCTCGATAAGCTTATCCCCCCACAAACATCGGTTACTATCGGGTATTCCAGAACTTTTTTCAGGCGACTCGATAATCCCAAAATTACTCCCACCACCAAACAATGCCTGATCCATCAACAACGTCACTGACGACTCTCGATGCGCTCTTCAATAATCCCGTATTTGCCGGAGGCATTGGTCTTGCAGGTCTCGGAGCTTCTGCCGCCATCGGTCGACGTTTCATGATACTGGGAGCTTCAACCATCAAACGACGTCTTTTGGTAAATCTCGAAATCAGTAAGGAGGATCCATCATATCAATGGATCTTAGCATGGCTATGTCTTCCTCGACCACCTGGAGGATTCATCGCATCTAGAATCACCCGTGTTCATGATTATTCTATGCGAACGACCGGCGAACAACTAGAGGGCGGTCCATCATCTGCGACTTTTCTTGCGCAGCCGGGATATGGTAGGCATGTTGTTCAGCATAAGAATGCTTTTATTTTAGTCCAGCGGGAGAAGCAAAGTAGTCATAATATGAATACTGGCGTACCGCACGAGACAATTACTCTGCGAACATTATACGCTCATCGACATATATTCGCAGATATTTTTGCAGAAGCGCATGAATTAGCTGCGACACAGCGGGAAGGGAAAACGGTTGTTTATAAGAGCTCTGGAATGGAATGGAGACAATTCGGAGATGCGCGACGAAAAAGGCCATTAAGTTCTGTAATATTAGACGAAGGAGTCAAGGAGCGAATCCTCGATGATGTGACAGATTTTCTAGGTCGGCAACAATGGTATGTGGATCGAGGAATACCTTATCGCAGAGGTTATCTTCTATATGGTCCGCCTGGGAGTGGTAAAACCTCTTTTATACAGGCCTTGGCTGGGGAATTGAACTTTGGGGTCGCAATGATAAATTTGAGCGAGCGGGGAATGACAGATGACAAATTGGCGCATTTCCTAACGAAGTTACCTCCGAGAACCCTAGTACTGCTTGAAGATGCAGATGCTGCGTTTGTAAATCGGAAACAGGTAGATTCCGAAGGATATTCAGGCGCAACAGTAACATTTTCGGGATTGTTGAATGCACTGGACGGAGTGGCGGCTGGGGAAGAAAGAATCGCTTTCCTCACTACAAATCACATTGACAGACTTGACGCTGCGCTAATACGGCCTGGACGTGTTGATATGATCGAGAGAATTGGTGAAGCTACAAGATATCAAGCTGCGGAGATGTGGGATAGATTCTACGGCGATATTGACAAGGATGGAAATGGAAAATTGCGATTTTTGACAAAGCTAGAAAGTCTTGGGCTTGTTGCTAATGAAGAAGGTAAGACTGTTGAGCCAGAGCTCCATACCAGTATGGCTGCTATACAGGGGCTTTTTGTGTTCAACAAGGACAGCATGGAAGGAGCCATTGATATGGTTGAGGGATTGATACCGAGAATATATGAGCCTCACACTCTCGAAAATGGGATCAAAGTGGCAGCTTGAGCTTGGACAGAGATTCCAGGCAGTAATACGGTATCATTATTGTATATATATTCGAATAAATTCAACATCAACAATATACACGTCCGAGAAAGGCGCCATCGAATTCGGGTCCATTGCCATGATCCCTCAATGTTACACATAATTCGCCCCTTCGCACAAGACGTTATAATGCATTGACAAAATTTACTGGGCAACAGCACTCCTCCCATCATCCTCAGGTAAACCCTCATTGTCCCCAGGCTCTCGGTAAGTCTCAGCAGACTTAGCGGCATGTCTGGTTTTATCATTGATGATATTGCTTTTGTCGACAGCAATGTTGTCGGCGGTTTCTACACACTGCTATTAGCTCAAGTCAATCATCAAGAATACAGAAAAAACTTGCCCTCTTCAATAGGAGCTTCGTCACTCAGAACTGGAATTGGATCCTGCTTGTGGCCAGGACGGGAAACATAATCGTTGTCTGTGGGATTCCCTTGGGGAACTTCTGAGGATGACATGATGGATTTGGTGATTTTCTGGACTGGATTCTTTGCAGACTTGAATTCGTTTGGTTGTTGAAAGAAAATGTGCGGAAGAAAGCTCTACTTGTACTCATCTTATAGCTATAGCTTGAGATAGATGAGCTCTGTGTGACGTTATGTACAAAAAAGGCTAGAAGATGGTGATATCATAAACATTCTGATAAAACACCCAAGTATCCTGAATCATTGGGACTTTCCAAGACATTTTCAGACTCCTGAGCAAATCATCAGCAATGAAATTATCAGCAATGAAATCATCATTTCAAACGTCAATACATCATAAACTTCCCCAGGACCAACGCTATGTTAGCATCGAGCATCGCTAAGGCCGCCTTGCAGTAGCTCTCCCGTTGATTGACATATCAAGGTACGATTGCTTGTCATGACGTTAATAACGCTTTACAATCTAAAGGTCTTCCTGATTGTAAAGGTTTGCATGCATATTCTGGATTTCATGGAGTGTAGATAAGAGAACTGGAGGATATAATCATTGGAACGACCTCGGATAATCGGTATGTGACAATAAATCCGATTCGATAATCAAACAGAACACTTCGTAGAGCATCCACAGTCCATGCCATGAAATGTGACGCATTGTATTAGTTCGAATACTAAGCATGAGCTACCTAGTAGTTCGTTAGGGACCCTCGAGGACCTTCACCCGTTTGTGGCTTCCCATCTCCCGATGCATCACTTGGATATGCAGTTTTTGAAATCGGATCTCATCGACGTGAAAAGCAGATGTGTCTAATAGTTTAGAAAGTAGTTTTGATCAATCGATGGTACTGCACTACTTGTGAAACTAATAAGATTCCCTCAAATATGTCGTACCTCATGCCACAGAAGAAACAGAAACATGAGACAGTCCATGAGAAATGATTTTTTGATTTTTGTGGAGATATTTTCTTCCAATACTGGCGCATAGGACAACAACGTTGATATGAATTGTACCTAGAGCAATAGTAGCGGTTAGTAAGTAGCAGGACATATTTTCTTGTTTCCCGAATTCGAATACGAAGTTTTGAGATGGAGTTCAAAAGGAACCAAAATCGATGTTGATGTGTATTATGTAAGTCATCAAAAGGAGTTTAGCGCAATACAATATCAAATATCATTGGTCATGGCGGGGTAATTTAATACCATCAGCCAAGCTCAACCTTCAATCGCATTCAATTCTTCAAAGCCGTCGCAATGTTCACAGGTCTTGTTGAGATCAAAGGAGGTTTGCTGTCATTCTTCAATATCCAATGTCAACTCACTAACATTTTCAGTTGTCTCCGACATCAAACTCGACAGTCAATATGGTGCCACTCTAACCATCAGCAATGCCTCCTCAATCCTCGGAGACTGCGGACTGGGCGACAGCATTTCCGTAAACGGTATCTGCCTTACAGTCACAACCTTCACGGAGGATAGTTTCACAGTTGGTTGCGCTCCAGAAACTCTTCGTCGTACAAACGTCGGTTCTCTACAAGTCAACTCCGAAGTCAATCTCGAACGCGCCGTTTCTGCGAACACACGTATGGGAGGACATTTCGTACAAGGACATGTGGATACTGTCGCAGAGTTGATAAAGAGGGAAGAGGATGGAGAGGCTTTAACCCTGAGATTGAAGCCTAGAGACAAACAAGTGATGAGATATATTGTAGAGAAGGGATATGTCACGCTTGACGGAGCCAGCTTGACGATTACCAAGGTTGATGAGGAATGGTTTGAGATTATGTTGATCGCATATACCCAAACGAAAATAGTCACAGCTCTCAAGAAAGAAGGAGAATATATCAACGTCGAGGTGGATCAAATTGGCAAATACGTTGAGAGAGCTGTGGAGGGATATTTCGCCCAAGGAACCGGTGGAGATATTGCCATCTTGGAAAAAATGGTGGAGCGCATTGTTGAGGCAAAGCTAGCAAAGCTTTCCGGAAATTAATGTGTTCTCTTCGATCAGTAGGATACCCAGAATTAACACAAGGGCTATACCCATTTTTCGCCACCTGAAAAAAATTCAGAGTTTAAAAAGCTTTTCTTGTTATATGGGACGTTGATCTGCGGGTAAAAACCAAGATCTCAAAGTGCTTAACACGCACAAAACTTCAATTCTGGGATATGATATATCTGCAGTGTTCTCTTCAATAAACATAAGCCCCAAGCCAGATATTCAACGCGAACCCTGGGAGTCCGGATCAAGCGGTAAAGAGTCTGTCAGTGCAGTGGCAGCATATTTCCGTAGGAACTCTCCTTATTCTTCCACACAAAAGCCCTTCAGTTGAGGGATTTTTGATATCACCAATTGTTTTTCTTTTCGAGTTATCGAAAGTCTTATGAATAATTTATGGAATGTTGAAGAGATTTTCCTTCATTAAATTTACGATGGATGAAGTGATGAATACAGTTACTCCACCTTTGTCCATTGCATCTTTTTCCTGTCCCATTTCCGAGAAGAAAAAAAATCATAAATCCAATCAAGAGACCAGTCTTACTTTTTTGAAGTAAAGTTTTCATGCAGACTGCTCCATCTCCCATCTTAACCAGTCCATACCAACGCCAAATTCAGATATTGACCTCTGCAGAGATCATGCAGCCTGCCATCTTACACTAAACGATCTGGCAAACCCATCCAAATAAATTCCAGGCGCAGGATTATCCACCAAAGTATTCCAAACATCAACATCTACTCCACTGCTCGGCCACCTTTGAACTGGCCAATTTGCCCAGCCCATCATGTATAATGGCACACCCGATTTTGTAGAGTTGGGCTATTCGCATTTCAGATTAGCCTTTCTTTCCCGTCTCTTTTCCAACGACTTTTTGCCTGAGTTACATTTAATTCGTACGGAAAAACAGACATACCGCGCTCCACTTTCCCTGGTTTTCAACCCCAGTTGCCGAACATGTTACTCGGCCACCTTCAACAAGACCGCACGTACCCGCTTCACTTCCAAATGCATACATCCACATCCCGATACTTTTGTTATATACAGTGCGAGTGCCATCAAAGAGACCACATGCAGTAGTGTCGAGTGTCCAAGTGAAAATCGAGGTTATGCAGCCGGCGATAGGACCAGCTCCTGCAAAATAAGGCGCTGATGCGTTGAGGGCTATAAGATAGCCTTGGGATGTGTAATCAGTGGAGAGAGTCGTTTCTGTTAGAGGTAGTGGAGTTGAAGAGGCCAGGAGTGATGCGAGGAAGATAGGGAGTATAGTAAAATATTTGAACATTTTGGAGTTTTGGGGAGAGTTATTACTTGTCGGGAGTTTCACAACTAGTAGATGCAAAATTTGTGCTCCGATATGGTATATTAAGAAGTGGGAACTCTTTCAAGACAGACGTGTCAACGCAGATATCACGAAATTTTGAATTCTTATTTCTATTATTCTAGCTCAGTCCTGGTGACCTCAAGTCGCTACTGTCATATCATTCCGTCTTTATTCTATCGGTTCAATTATATATTAATCTATCAACACTTTCATCCCTTCCCACTTCCTGCTTATCATGATATATCATTTATCTTGGCATTCCCACACTCCATTCCGCGAAAACTGCAGAATCAGGGAGATGGACCTAAGGATAACTTCTCCACAGTGCTGATAGGACGCCCAGATTCCGCCCGTCAATCACTTTGAAACACAATTTGTGGAACCGACATGCTTGTCGGGTAAAGGGGGGACGAGTCGGTTAAATTCCTGTGGCGTGCCCTGTGATCGCTGACCTGGTGCAGGGTTTCCGGCGTGCATTCTGGGGTAATAGTACCGTGAAACAATATCATACATGCAAGAATGACATTTAATATGTTGTGGTCTTGGCTTTACGTTGAAGATTCGTTGGGTATCGCCAGAATTTCTATCACGCATACGGTCCGATTGCACGGGATGGGGGTTCATGGTAAGAATTTTTGATTGCGACGTATTATTATCTAATGGTCTATGATTATATGGAGGCCTTTTATGCGATTGCTAAAAAGGCAAGGCCAATGTTGTATGTTGCGGTTAAGAAACTCTGCTCTTGCGTAGTATAGGTTCCGTTAAAAGCTGCCGGTGTAACTAAACCACTCGCTGCAGCGGTGGGGAAAACATTCTGATCCACCGCAAAGCGAGCTCCATCCTTGGGCATTGTACCGCTTACAAAGAAATTGGAGATCGTTTTTGCCATTCCGAGAGATGCATGTGAGATAGTTGTATGTCCACTTCCTCCACGGTATACAAGGGTGGATGAAGTAGGGAGTAGACTGCGGAGTGCTTTTGCGGACTTGAGAGGTGTTGTCGGATCATTCTCGGCTGAGACGATAAGGATTGGTGTTTTGGCTGTTGCGAGAAGAGTATCTGTTTTCGCCATTAAACTCGCTCCTACGTTTGGAACAAGCGGACGTGTGGAGGGGAAGTTGCGGCAAAATGTGATGGGGATAAGATCAGCATTTAGAATTGGAGTATTTTCGGAGATTGAAATGCTTTTTGTGAGAGAGATGACAGTGTCCAACGTAATTCCATTTGACGCAGCATTATCAACGCAACCAAGTGGGTAAGTGGCAAGAGTTCCGACACCTGCTGCGGAGCCATCGGTTGGTGCACTCGCTGCTAAGGACCCAAGGAGTGAAATAAGAGCAGTTGCGTCACGGGTTTCGAGACCGGATAGGACAGATGCAAGTGTTTTCCAAGTGGTTGGAACTCTCAGAAGAGATGCAAGAAGGGGACTGAGGATATCCAAGCTAATGCTTAAGCCCGAAGCAACAATAGGATTCTTGAATATGTTCTCCATTATGTTGTCAAGTCTGGTGGCCACAGTACCTGTGACTCCAGTAGGAGCGGTGGCAAAAGAGCATCCTTTACTACCGGCGGTGGTGCAGAAAGATGCGAAATCGTTCAAAGAAGTACGAACACTGACTTGATCGTTTGGTAGTTGGCTGACGTATGTAAGGGCGTTTGCCTTTGCGTCAAAGACACCATCGGCAATAACTCTTCCTACGCGGCCTGGGAAAGTTTGGATAAACTCTGCGAGGAAAATAGTTCCATATGAGAAACCCCAGTAGTTGAGTTTTGCAGAAGTTCCATCTAATGCATCAACTATCGCTGCCATGTCTCGGACAACATATGCTGCTGTTGAGGTGTAAAGAGCGGGAGATTTCTGAGCTACACAGGCTTTTGCAAGAGCAGCGACAGAGGTGTCAAAAGATGTGATAGCAGAGCTAACAGCAGCATTGGCGCTAGCATTTGCAAATTGTCCGAGCCAAAGATTTGGAGCAGATGGAAATGCGTTGTTGAAATCATACTCCGCACTGGCATTTGGAAAGCATTCCAAGATAGGAGCCGAAGCACCAGTTCCACGTGGATCCCATCCGATAACATCGTATAATCCACCGCTAAGTGCCGAGACCGCGGCACCGGCCTCGGACTGCACAAAGCCAACACCACTGGCACCGGGTCCACCGGGATTAATCAAAAGAGACCCGAGCTTCTTGTTCGCTGCTACAGTGGCAGGATAACGAGCAAGCGCGACATTTGCTTTTGCTGTTGACTTCGAATCGCCATATTCGAGCGGAACTTCAAGGGTTGCGCATTCTACGCCGGTACCACATGAGGTCCACGTTAGTCCATTAACAAGGACTGACAAGTTGACAGCGGCGAGTAGAATCTTGCCAACGGAAGGCATTTTGAACAAATGAGTGAAGTTTCCAAGAGAGTGACGATTCAATGAAAGTGACTGCTTCTACTTACAAGAGAATTGCCAAATATTACATTGTCCAATATTTATATCGGGCAAATCTATGTTTCAATTTCTCCATTGCTGGGTTGTGCCAAGATGCGGACTTTGCATTCAGAAAAATTGAAAGTCCTTTGGTTCAAATTTCCATGCGCTGCGTTCAATTTATAATTCGATTTAATATCTGAAGAAGTCTATTTCTCGTGTAGCTGGGATTATAGGGGGAAATTATGGTTCGATGTGGTCGGTAGGGATATTTAAGGTTTTTGCGAAACCTTATTTTGACTTGGACCGAAAATTGTGTTCAAGCATCGGATTCTCAGAATCTACGAAGTATGCTTGTTCTCGGCCTTTACCCATATGAGTTTAATTCTTCGGTCATGCCTTGCGAAACAGATTTTCTTGGTAGAATTGCAACGGATTTGATATTGCAATTTTTTGGTTCTCCTTAAGGTTAATTGAGCGTAGTGACCGATGTCTCAGCCAACTTCTCGCAAGAAATTAATTTTGACTCTTCCATCTTTGACCTGACCTTGACTGGAGACTAGGAGAATAATCCAAAGTAACAGCCAACAGTATCCGATTCAGACAGACTTTCTTCTCTGGTAACTTGACACACCCATCTACTACCGTGTATCTTTTTCCTCAAAAATCTATCCACTAAATCATCAGGCCACGCATTCGACACATGAAAATCTACCATGGTCTCCTTCAAAGCTGGCATGGCTTTGAATCTCTCATCGAATGCGCTCAAACCCATACCAATAGACTCAAAGGAATCAATGCTTCCGGAGTTCCTCGAGGAATTGACTGCCAGCCTTATACTGCCACCACCAAATCGTAAATTGTCCCATGGAGATATCTTGAATGTCACAAGATTTCTGATTTTATCAATAACTAATTCGATGACTTCAGTATCTCTTCCAGCGGGCCAAGGTTGACCAGGTCCAAAAATCGAATTCGGAAACAGTGGAAAATAGATATCCAGATGCCGAAGAGAAAGAGCATTTCTCTCTCCGATCTGTGCTAGAAACCCAGTGATGATCTTATAACCTGGTATATAGAAGGATTGGAGACGGCATAACACAAATTTGTTGCTGGAGTAGAGAATTGAAGATGCCTCCAAGTGGAGTTGTTTGCTGATTCGTAGAATTTTGGGACAGAGACGGTATTCTTTGCTTAGGATCAAATGCGATGGACTTGTTTCTGAGGATTTTATTTCAATAGGCTGAGAATCCGAGGCAATGAGTAGTTCATTGTAGATTTTAAGTCGGATCTCAATGGCGAGATCAAAGAAATGTAGCTTTGAACGTTGGTTCAACTCCTTTCCTGTCTGCATCGCGATCGTGAAATTTGATAGGCAAAGTAATGAATGATACAAGTGCTGCCGTTGAACTCGAGTAGTGGTTTGTGGTTATTTCTTATGAGCATGGAAAGCTATCAGAATGATGACCAGGTTCTTGTCAAAATATGATGGTTTATATCAGAATATGTAGCTTCATCCACCAGCAACTTCTAAAGTGTTAGTTGAATGGTAAGATAAGAGGCGGGGAGAGAAGAGGGCATTATATGATATGAATAAAGTATAAAATAACCTAGCTAAGTACCTAAATAATTAAGGTTACAGAGTCAGATTCAATACGATGGAGGGTGGACTACGAATGAACAAATCATCACTTTAAACCACTCAGAACTCGCCAACAACGTTTGTGCGGCACAGAATAAGGCAGATATCTGTAAACTTATTTTTAGCTTTCCAACTACGAGAAAGTTGCAAAATGATATCGGAATAGAGATGTGAAAAGGTTCTCAAAAGAAGAACCCGAGGTCACAAAATCGAACTACTATGGAAGGAAATAAAAATTTGGAGCACAAAATGGTGTGGTATCCAATTTGTTCCCTCACAAATCCTTCTCGCCAGTTGTAATCTTACATCCAGTACCAACAGCAAGCGATTCTCAGTAAAATATACTGTTTTTCTGTTTTTTTGATAATGGTTTCCTTATGAACCAGAACTTGCCGTAAGGCAATCTCGCGCTATCACAAAATTTACTCAGAGCACAAGTGGCCGCACCATATATTTACCCCTATGATCCACGTACGCATTGGTCTGCTCCGCCGACAACGAGTATAGGAACTTCAAGTGAGTATATCCAAGTCGAATGTTGAATTTGGTGTCAAATTTGTGGTTCAATCATCAGTTTCTTGGCCCTTTTAGCTTTCATTACGGCAATATTGCGCTGGGTGAAACTCACACTCATTTCAGATAGATGGTTGGAAAGCAAATGTATCTTTTTGAGAAGTGTCTTTCCCTGAAGTGAGGTTCTCATGAGCTTTCTCGAAACACTTTTTTGAAAAAGCGTGGTTTTCACATTCGTAAGTATTTCCTTGGTGTTCACTTTGAGTTGCATCTTTTCGCAGAGTATCTTCTCCAATAATCTCTCAGAACGTCAATCTCCGACTGTTTTCCACTGGCGGTGTCCCATCCCAGAAATTCTCATTTTAAAGCTTCTCTTCTCACGAAGTTTAATTCAGTGTATTGGCTTCTTCAGTAGTTTTGTAGTTGACGTGACGCCTGCAAAAGTCAGATCGACACACACAAGGTGTCACCTGAGCGACGGGGTTTTCTGGTCGACCACAATAAAGACATTTCCAATACACAAAGTTATGGGGAGTTTCAGCCATCTTTTGAGGATTACTGTCAGTGTGCGTGTAAATCCCGCAAAATTCACATATGAGAGTGTGTGCATCCCGAGGGGCAAAATTCTCAGATCTACCGCATTCGAGACTTGTCCAACAGGCTCGGATAGATCGTGTCATGACTTGAAGTTGAGGTGATGAAGAACACTGTTGCTGGAATTGACCAATTATTTTCAGGATTGTGTTACTTCCGATCTGTCTGAAGTTCAGGGAATAATATCTCATTTCGTGGTAGTGTTGTTGAATTGTAAGAACGAGTGTTGTTTAGATATGGTCGCAATTATAGCCACTTTCGATTCTTCCTTCCTAGTAGTAATTAGTTCAGAATGTCTGCTCAACAACTTCTATTCCTAATTCTTTGTCTCTTTTCCCATGCATTTTTTCATCACAAACATTTCTCTCGGTATATCTTTTCTTCCTACTTACCCAAGTCTCCTAAACCCTCCTTGTATAGAGGTAAATACCGTAAGCTTCTTTTTACTCTTTGACGAAAGAACGGTTTGACGCATACGCTGTTATAACTACAGTCTTTCAAGCCAATATTTTGATATATCCATCAAATCCCCGGTCAACCAATAAGTAGACTGGGGCCGTCAACATTGACCAATTGAAAACTCTTCTGACTCATTGTTTTCATCTTGTCAAAGCAACTCCTCTTCTTTTGATAAATACTCTCAAACGAGCTTTTGAAATTAGAAATATCCTTCTGAGACCAGTCCAATACTCTCATCTGTTACACCAAGTCACTATATCCAAATCCATCCTGACCAATTTCTCCCCCAAAAAAAGGAAAATAAGTAACTTGAATCATTCCCTATTATCTTCAATCCCAAAACATATCTCATTCCGACCCATCAGAAAAATCGTCATTAACCACACGGAAATCGAATACCTCGCTTCGATTCACTGTACTTCTACACTTCAACATCTCAATCATCCACTGCAAATACACATTCACAATCTCCTCATCAAATCGCATTTCCCTCAAAATCCATAATCAAAACCAGATATGCATTCACATTTCCCACAGCACATTTCCCACATCCCATATCCACATCCCATATCCACATCCCACATCCCTCTACATAAACGCTCAAACTCAACCCTCCCCATCCACCTCCCTCCAACACACCAACCCAACCCATCCAACCACAAACCACAAACCACAAACCTCCCACCAACCCTACAAATCACATCACTCACTCCCTCCCTCCCACTCCACTCCAAAAACCCACCCCATCTCAAAAATGCCACCCCCCCCCCGCGGTTTCCAAACCCAATGCAGTCTCTGCAACGCACCCATCACAATCGACTACCAAAGCCCCATCCAACGTCTCAGCTGCGGCCATGTATATTTTCAGAGCTCATCTACCACTCCAGATTCTACCACTCCAGATACTGTTACGAAACTCTTGACGCCAGTGAGAGAGTTTACTTTCTCGTGTGAGAAGTTTCTGCGCAGGGGGCGAAATGTGGTTTTGTGCGGGATGGCATAGCTTGCTTGGAGGGATACGGAATACTGTGATGGGGTTTCAGGATTGGGTATGTGCTGGGGATTGGAGGATGAGAATCCGAGATGAGAGTTTCGTTATGCGATGCGCAGAGGGCCATGGTAATGGATGGATGGTAGATGTCGAGACTAGGAAGTCGAACCTTTTTCATATTTTCCGAATCAATAGTTGTATGGCTTAGAAATAAGAAAGGAATAAAAGATTATAGTTTTCGAGATTCAGATCAATGTGTTTTCATTACTCGTGGTAGTTGAGAGAGACAAAAGCCTGCGTCCCAAACGGGTGTAATTATTACCAAATAAACGCTCACTTGCTAAATTGGTATACTGACTCGCTCTTCTAAGCATACAAATTAATCCAAAGTCCACGCTGACTCGTATTACTCGTAGCATCTATATGAAAATGATATTCAAGAATCATAACCCCACCCTCTCGCATCATTATATTCGCCTACGAAGCTCGTCGCTGCTGCGATAACTCCAATATCGCCATCCGCCAAAGCATTACCCGTACCGTTTAAAGCACGTGCAGCCGCTTGACCTCTCGCAACTTCCGCTTGCAATATCTGTACCCTATAATCCTCATCCAGACAAGAGTCTCTTCGGATCATTCGTCCCATAATTGCAGATCTCAAAGCAGCTTCCCAATGATTGACAAAATCATCCTCGCTTTGCACAGTTGGTTTTCGAGGGGAAGCACCGACTCCCGCACATCTGTCTGCATATTGATATATACATCTCACGACCTCGTAGCGACGAGTGACCAAGAAGAGGATTGGCCAGGAAACTACCCATAAGAATGTGAGATAAAAGAACCAACGGATCCAAGTAGTCATTCGCCATTCGTTGATCATATGTGGCGAATAAACAATTACTCGTTTGTGCGACGTTGGGAAATTGACGTGAATTCGACCACGGTAATTTGTAGATGTAACGATACGTCGTAAGAGGTACTCCAGATGACTTTTGTCATGATTTATGATCTTGCGTTCAAATATGAAGCATTTCATGCCAGATGGATCGGAAACGAATTTTTCACACCAGGCTTGTAATTCATCCCCTGTGGAGCCGGACTCAATATCACAGTTTGAGAGGGAGGGCTCTAGTGACTTGATGATTCCACCTCGATATCCTTTTTGGTTATCTGGCAAGATCTCTAGTTTTCCTCCAGTTCTTATACCGGTCGTGAGTAGATGTGTTAAATTTAGACGTATATGGAAATCCGTAATAGTTTCCGATGAGTCTTTCTTGTGTCGACGCTCGGTTTCTGTGTGAGTCCCCGATACTTCCACATAATAGGTCGGAGCATATTGAGCTTGTTCGAGGATCATTTGACGAAGAGCATCGGGATCTGTAGAATAATTTGGGAATCTTGTCCAGAAATCGGATGAACTATAGTCGTGCGAAGAGAAAGGAAGATCGGGAGGAGAGCTAGAGCAGAGTAAGTTGGTTTAAATTGCACGGCACATCTATTAAGAGATACTTACATATACCATCCTGCACCGGAGGTAGAGTGGGAATTGCTGGCAGATGGGCCATCAGTACGCGAAAGAAGAGGTGCCGATGAGGATGTTTCTTCATAAGTTGGAAGATCCTCTTCGGGGTATTCTTGATCAATATTATTGAGAAAGCTTGAGGAAGAAGCAGCAGCATTGCTAGTTTCTAATAGATCTCTATGAGCATCAGCCTTGTAGGGCTGTGGCGTTTCTTTCCCCATATTGCAGATGCGTCGTGCCCGATGTAGAGCCGCGGATCTCGTCGATTGATGATATTGTTATACTTTTGAGATTTCACCAGTGAGATTGTCGTTTCAATAGATGGATAAAACGTATGAGTTTGAGGCGATGTGGTATTTTTGAATGTAGATGTGAAGTGAGGTGAAGTCGTTTGTTGCCTATCCTATCTACCTATGGATGACACTCGCTTTGGACTTTGCACAGCCACAAAATCTTTTATGTGTACGTACAGAGGGAGGAGAGTCGTACCTACCTCCAGCTACTCCAGCTAACCTTAGGTAGGTAGTACTCTCAGGGAATGGAATCTGTCTCGTCTGTTCATCTAATGATGAGTAATGGAAGCGTTTGTCCTTGGCATCTCACTCTCCTTACGATGCAACTCATTCCCAAAAGAGAAAAGACGTCAACGTGATCCAATCCATCGTTTCCTCACTTATTTATATTGCCATGCGGCGGGATTGCCTTGATTGCTTCTTGAGGTTCCACTCAATGATTCAACACAGCCACGATACCATCAATTAAAGGCATGGCTTCCATGCATGATAGATATTCCCCAGCTTTTTGGGATATGGATGTATGGATGGATGATGAGAAATCTTTCATGTTCCAAAAATAGATCTACATTATCATGAAACAGGACCCTTGATTTTAACTTTCTCGGTGGTGAAGATATCGTATTGAAGCAACCAATTTGTCAATTTTTTAAACTTCTTTTCGAGTGTGAAGTGTGGGAATGGGACGGAACTGGAGCTCTTATCATTGATCATCAATCCCTTTTTACCGAAAGACTCTTTCTACCAATGGAAGGGATTATCATTTGTGGAGAATCTTGAGCTGTCACTCAATTCTGGGAATTCTACGAGTCGGCTGCGTTGCTTGATTTGCTCGATTCGTTGCGGGTAAGGCTCCAAAATAAAGATCTCGCCTTATGAAACGAAACGGTTCTAAGAAAAAACATCTCGAGCCACTTTATATCATCACCCCTCTTAAACGGTCAAACCCCTTCCACCCTTCAACCCTTCAACCCTTCAACCCCTTTTAGTCGTTCATCTGAATTCGATATCTATTGTTTGCGCCAAATCATTTACATCTGCCAAGTATCTAAAGTATTGACACCAGACATACTACACCAGAATGTCGGAGTTAAAGAATGCCAAAGTAAGTTTCAAGAGATAGAAAGCTTCACGAGAGATGTTTTGATATTCGTACCTCACGCGTACTCACCAGTACTGACTACTCCTCTGTTCTAGGGTCTCAGCAATGAGGAAATCCAAGCATATAGAGATGCTTTCTCCATTTTCGTAAGTCAAACTTCTTCTCTGACTGTTCGCGCAAATGCTTACTCTGGTATACAGGATAAAGACGGTGATGGTATGCGCAATTCAACCCCGCACTTGCTCTTCGCAATCCTTTTCTAACAATTCTACCTTTACCCAGGAACCATTTCCACCGCCGAACTCGCAGAAGCAATGAAATCTTTGGGACAAAATCCATCAGATGCAGAAATTCAGGATATGATCAATGAGGTTGATGTTGATCAATCTGGAACAGTCGATTTTGATGGTTTGTTACACCGCGATATACCACGAATACCCCACATCTTCACATCGTCAATACTTTCATTCGAACTCTTCTAACCATATAATGCTCGAAATACAGAATTCCTTAAGATGATGACTGCCGAAACAAAGGGCGTTGATTTTGAACAAGAAATGCGCAGCGCTTTCCAAGTATTCGATGTTGATGGAAGTGGCACAATTTCCCCAGAAGAAATCTACAAGTTGATGGCATCTCTAGGAGAGAATTTGTCAGAGGACGAGATTAAGAGTATGGTGAAGGAGGTTGATAAGAATGGTGACGGAAGCATAGATTGTATGAAAGCTCCTCTTGAATTACTCTTCAAACCTCTCCAAACCTGCTCAAATACTAACGAAATTTTGTTCTTTTAGATGAGGAATTCGTTTCATTCATTCGCGACAACAAATAAGGAATCAGCACTAATTGGGGGAAATTTATGAAATTGGGAGAAATTTTGGATCTCATATGAAGTTACATAAAATACCATAGGAATACACACCATTTTGTTCTAGCCGTCTTTTTCAATGGGAATGAAAGTTTCATTCATGCTATATACATGGATCAAGTGAGCGTCGTCAGTATCATCACGAATGTAGCATTTGCATTTGATTTGATTTTGAAATCTTACCTTCTAGCATTGGTTCTCAAACTTGTTGTATCGTTTTTCTGGAGCTTCTATGTTCTTAAACAATCCTTCAATAGCTTGTTGTTTGAGTACAAAGAACGATTCGGGCTCAAAGGACTTTTGAAGTTTTGAAAGAGAAGATGATTTCTCTTATACACTTTCAACATCATCAAGGAACAATGGCATTGTAGCTTTTATTTGTAGGCATTTCTTCCCATAATACCCTAAACACATTTTGATTACTGTAGCACAATCACAATCCTTAACCTTTGACCAAAATGTCTTCGAGCTCGGCACTAGAAGGTTCTAATAAAACAGCTGTCAAATCTGAGACTAGGCTCACATTTGGTATCGAGATTGAATATCTCTTAGCTACTGTTCATCCCTTGAATCCTGCTCCTCATCCAAAGGATCCACGTGAGAAAGACGGAAAAAAATTAGATGGCATGGACAAAGTTAACGAGAACATTGGCGAAAAACTCAAGGCTAAGGGTATACCAGTAACAACAACTGTGTGGGAAACGGATACATCACCGAGTGATGCAGAATTAAGAACTAAATGGCACCTTAAATCTGATTCGAGTGTCACCCCAAAAGAGCGAATTCACCCAGATTATAGAGAATTCGGTATGGAAATATCATCTCCACCCTACTATTACGATCAGGCTTCACGAGAACTTATTCCAGTAGTCTTAAAGACATTAAGAAATAACTATCTAGTTCGAGTTAATGACAGTGCGGGCTTCCACGTTCACGTTGGTAACGAGTATGATGGATTTTCTTTCCCAGTATTTCGCAACCTGGTTGCAATTTTGTATACTTACGAACGGCAGATTCGGCTTATGGTCTCTGCCGAGCGAGTGCAGACTTCACAAATATTTTGCCGATCATTTACCTGGTGCACTTTCGCCACGAGTGCCCCAGATATCACACGTCTCGAATTTCTCAACCACATTCTTTCGTACCAAAACCAAGACGACTGGAAACAATTTTGGACTGATATGACAGCGGGCGTTGGAGCACGACTTGCATTCAACTTGGTCAACTTGAAACTCCCGTACCAGTCTGAAAAACGTACCATCGAATTCCGTCTCCATCCCGGAACCCTAGATCCAGAGGTCATGCTCCACTGGATCCACTTCTGCATCAAAGTCACGGAGAAAGCATGTCTCATCAAAGACGAAAACGAACTCTACGAGCTACTCAGGCGCGATGTCGAAAAACCCATTGGCACCGCCGGAGAAGACTGTAGCACGGTTGATTTTCTCATGTGGCTCGGCTGTCCGGCGCAGGCGTATTACTATGGTGCGCCCCTAGTCGCAGATCAGCAGGGTCTCAAAGATCGTATTCAAGAGGATGAGAGGATGGAACAGGTTAGTCGGGCTTTGGCGGTGCTGAAGAGGAAGCAGTGGGAAGAGAGGAGGAGGAGAGCGCAGCATGCGAGAGATTTTCCTGGGGATGATGCGGATTTCTCGGAGGTGGAGTCGGATTAGAAATCAGAGGTAAGTGGTAGATTTATTTCTTCTTTCTTCTTCTAGCTGCTTGTTCGCAGAACATAGGTAAGTCGCGTTCATAGATTGTGTTGGTAGGTACATTCCTTTGTTTATTTGATAATATTATAGTTTTTTTTATTTAAAAAAATAGGGGTTTAATCATTTGTGAGATTTAGTTTTTGTTTTTTGAATCTTGGGGGAAATGTGTGTAGTAATCTGAATGGAGATAGGCTTTTCAAGTATGGTGCATCACATACAATGTACAGTTCATCTATATTACTGAATAGACGTGATGAACAATCGGATAGTTTCCGCCTGGCACTTCTATTTTTTATCTATTTTCGCATCGCTAGATATAGGGTTATGAGTCGTGGGTTGTGAAAGCATGCTATAGGTACCTATATGAATACTTTACGAGAAAAGGATATCGAACAACTTCACAATCGAACAGAATAGTCAGTCTAGAGAAGAGAGATATAGTGGTTAATTATCTTGATTGCTGATAGCTTTCCAGCTATAACTATCGAAAAGTGAAAAAGGAAATGAAAAGAGTACGCGATACGCTGAGAGTTGGTGGCATATATCTGCTCAACTCTGGATACCTACCTACTAGGTACCCAGGTATATATAAAATTTCTGATAAGGAGTGATGTAACTCCTTTTGAGAGTTTCCTCGGTATGCTATCTGCTGTGGTTTTCGGATGTACCGCGTGCCCAATTCTGAGTAGATATGTAGGGTCTGCCTAAAACACATTTCTGGCTTTTCATCTCCATATCATCTTTCGGGAGCCTTTGGGGTGGAGTTTTGACGAACTCGTGGATCCCGAGATATGAGCTTGAGCTTTAGTTTGGGTTTTTGTACGGGCGTTGATTGGGGGGTTGGTATGGATTTTCCGCCTGGCGTTGGTTTGGGGGTTGGGGTTGATTTTCCGCCGGATGTTGGTTTTGGGGTTGGGATGGGTTTTCCTCCTGGTTTGGATATCGGCATTGTTTTCGATATTGGGAGTTCCTGCATTTCTTCATCCACCTTTGTTTTCGATATTGGGGGTTCCTGCATTTCTTCATCCACCTCTGTTTCATCATCATCTCGCGCTATCTCTTTCCCTTTCCTTTTTCTTTTCTCTCTCAAATTTGCCTCCATCTTTGTAGATTTTGGGGTTGCTGTTGATTTCACCCCTGATGTCGATGTTGGCGTTGATTTCGGTATTGGGGGTTCCTCAATTTCTTCATCTATCTCTATTTCATCATCATCTTTCGCTATCTCTTTCCCTTTCCTTTTCTCTCTCGAATTTCCCCCCGTCTTCACAGATTTCGGAATTCGTGTTGGTTTTCCTCCTGGTTTCGATATCGGTATTGTTTCCCACATCGGCGTTAACTGCAATTCTTCTGGGGATTCCTGTCTTTCAGTCTCCTTCTCCGTTTCAACCTCAGTCACCACCCCGTTCAGAATTCTCTCCAGCTTAGCACCATATCTATCCAACTCCTCTATCACAACTACTTCCACCGCTCGATTCTCGATCTTCGGAATATAATGATACTTCACATGATACCCCATACTCGCCTGTCCCAACTTATGCAATTTCTCATTCAGCCGATCAAATTCCAATATTAAATCTACATACGGCAAGCGCTTGCTAGGAACAACTCCCTTGGTCGCATCATCAAATGGCCATTTGTGGAGAAGCGAGATTACTTCTTCCGAGGAGGAATAGATGTCTAGATAAAAACCTACTCCCTCGTTGAGCTCGGCCCGGAATTCCTCGTCTTTGTGAACGCGGAGATACTTGGCATCTGGATCACGGTCGGTGGCTTTGATGGCTTCGATACGCCGGAGAGCGGCGCGCTGCGCAATGAGGATGGAGGAGAGCATGGCGCGTATGGGGGTTACGGGGTGCTGGGAGGTGGGCGAGAGCGTCCCCACGTGCAATCTGCATCGGCAGGGGTAGACGTGCGAGTAGCGGGCGACATAGGCGCCGTAGTTTTTGGGGGCGGGAGAGGGGTTTGAGGGGTTTGAGGTGGTGGGAGTGAAGACGCGGGTCGAGCCGTGGGTGTGGTAGATTAGGATGTGCGCCATAGTTGGGTTTGTGGGAATAGATAGATGGATCTATGGATGATTGAGAATGCGGAATATCTGATTCCGTGGGATTAGCTCCAGCGATGCTTGAAAGGTGTTGGGTTGCCTGCCATGAACGAGGAAGAAAACGGTGGGAAATATTATAATAATGAGAACCACTCTGATAATAACCTGATATTTTATGCAAAAACAATACTTGAAGAGAGTAAAATGTATTTCTCAACCAATTTCAGCACTTCGAATTATATAATGATGAATGGAGATTGTCATGTTTACTGTAATATTATCCTAGGATTTAGAGGCTAGGGTAGGGGAAAGAGTGAGGGATAGGAACAAGTGACTATCTTGCTGGCTGGATGGCTCTTTCTCATATTTCTGGATATTGATGAATTGATGATAGATGGAAAGAACGGATACGCGGGGAGGTGGTGAGTCTGAGTTTGAGTTTGAGTTTAGGTTGGGTTTTGGGAAAGTACGGGGGAGGAAGGGGAGGGTGTGGAGATAATTGATAGTTGCTTTGGGGTTTGGATTTAGATAGGATCTGGGAGGGATTATAGGGTGGTATGGTACAGTATGGGATGTTATGAGAAATAGTGGGATGGTATAATATTGATAGTTGGTAGATTTGTGTATTATCATGGAGTCTCAGGAATTTGAGAAAGGGCTATTGAGTTGAGCTGACATGTTGGTTGATGTTCAAAGTAGGTGGGTATCTTGCGCATATGAAGAGTCTGGGCGGGTTGAATGATGAATTTTATGGATGTCGTACAAGACATATCTAGCTACCCCTTCCAGCCATCGAGAGGTGGAACTACCAGTAGCTATTGTATGAACCGACGGGATACTTCTCATTTTTGAATTTTCTTAGCATATTCATTCTTTGGTCTTAAGATATCGGAATTTATTATTCTATTTTTCGGTCTATGATACTTCATGATTGCAATTTTTAAACGATTCGAACGGGTATTTTAAAAGATGTCGATAAGTCGATTTTTGTAGTGTCCAGTGTCCTGTCGCTTTGCATGCCCGATAGTGGACACGGGTTCGTGATGTCTATGATTTACTTGTAGATGTTTTTCATGGTTTTTGAGTGAGAGACTGTATATGTGTTGAAGATCCGTTGTGAGGCTGATATACCTGATGAATGATGGCGTGAAAAGATGGTTTTGGTGGATTGGTGGAAACTTTTTGATGTTGGGTTTGGAGATTGTTGGAATGGGAAGAGGGCAGGGAGTATGTGGTATTTTTTGGTGGTTATCTAAATCAGTATGCTACTGTTATGGTGAGTTGAGGATGGTAGTTAGGATGGTAGTTGGAACGACAGTAGTCAGGAAGGCATGTGTGATGTGACTTGTTAATTCACAAGTGAAATATCGGTAGCCAAATCGGTTCTGTGCCTGGCGCTAATTTAGTAAGATTACATTGTTAAAGTTAACCTGCTCTAATAAGAATACCTAGGTACTTTTCTTTGTTCGGTTATTATCAGACGAGCGATGAAGACTGAGAAAGGGTTGAGAACAACAACATCTAACAAAGTAGTCTCTGCTCCTTTATCTTTCAAGGGAATAAAGATTATCTCGGACGAATCCTTTGTTATTACAAGGTATTGTTCACTCAAAGTCACTAACTATATCATAAAGAAAGATGGGCAAAATATTGTTGGGTTTTATATATAATTAGATTTAGGAAATGTGTCAATTCAAATGGTGAGGGCCAGCCTCGAGCTACATTTCTCTTCAGCACTTACTTACTGTTTCACGCTGATATGTGTGTACATGTCCTCTACCACCATAACCGAGAACGCTCATTCCATGTCAACATCTTCCTCGCACTGAGTCCAGAAGTCAGCTCCTAGAACTTGGTCCGCGGCTGTAATTGCAGATTGGTATTGGGCGGCTTTAGCGCGGTCTTCTTCAGCCCATTTTTGTTTCAATGGAGCCATCATTTCTTCGACTTCTTGTTGCCATTCTAAAGGCATTTCTATGTCGGTGTCGTCCGGTGCTAGTGAGAACAACATGAAAGGTAGGATAAATGGATTTTCGTTTTGTATTTTCTGAGCGGCTTCCTCGGCAGCAAGATGATTAGCTGCTTCGCGTGCTATTTTGGCTGCCTTGCGTGCTTCTCTGCGTGCTTTTATACCTACTTCGCGTTCTAATTTAGCTTCTTTACGTGCTATTTCAGCTGCTACACGAGCTTCTTGAATGTGTCTCCATTGTTCTTCGATGGATTGACTGGTATATTCTCTGATAGGCCATGGGTCCTGCGCAAAAGCAACACCACCAAGGTGATGCTTTACCTGCTCAATTGTCATTTGATACATGGCTGCTCTAGGATTTATAGTCACCTCCTTTCCATCGGCTGTGTGCATCGTGATGCTGTTAAGATAAGCCGACTCGCTATGGCACCAAAGAGGGGGTTCTGCTACTTCTGTTGACATATTTGCGGTGATCGATTGGGCTGTGAAGTGTGTATTTGAAGCTTTTATCTTGCTAAATATAATAGCTGTGTAGGTAATTGCTTCTGAAAGTTGTTTGGATATGGTGAAATATTCAAGAGACACATATTAGCCAGCCATTTAAATGTCTAGCATGCATATCGTTTCTACATTGTTCTCACAGAAAAGTTTCACCGTTGTTCAAAAGTGATTCCTCAAAGTGGCGAACAAAGTCGGAACAGAATCTAGTCTCATAGCAAAGTACAGTACAGGTACAGCTTTTGCTGAAAGAGAAGAACTTTGCCATTAACGATGCAGATGAATCTGTTAGATTTATCAATGAGCTCGCTGGAAGAATTATCCGGGTATTATTAGTTCATCAAAAGCTGGTCAGATTAGGCAGAGTGTATGCATTGAAAAACGCTGTTTATATTTTATCTGATGCACCATGATATCCTCGCGTCGCTAGTTTTTCTGACACATGTCTTTGTAGGATATTACAGATATGCTTATCTTCAACTGATATTGCATCCATCGTGATACTTGAAAGATCTTTCCAACCATGGATTGTTGACCGAAAATGATTGTCAGAAATCTCCATAAAGGCTTGGAAAGCGAGAAATAAACGTTAGCATACCATCAGATTAAAAAACCCCATTTATTGGCGGCCCCCCTCTTTCCTCCCGAGCTCATGGAACGAAAATGGGCTTTGATCATGTTGTATGCTTCCTCTTCATCCTCATCAATGATTTTCTTTTTGGGGAGTTTATTCTCAACAACAGTTGTTGTAATATCAGACTCGGCGACGTCAGACTTGACGGTATCTGGTTTCTGAAAATGACCGCGAAGGTTGGAGAATACATCATTGTAAATTTCATTCATGTCTGTGTCCTTTAATTCGACCTTGGTATTCGTGGTTTCTGTTGTTGGAGAGTCGACGGTCCTCTCTACTGTCAATCCTTCCATTGTCTTGACTAAATCTTCTGCAGTTTCATTCATCTTTGGCTTGGTTGCTGTGTTCTTTGTAATACCGTTGGTACGAACTCGTGCGCTGGTAGCGGATCTCTTTTGTTCCTCTCGAGTATCGATCGCTGATGGAGCCATGGTGAAGATAGTCTTGTCTGTGTTGGTATTTAGCAAAATCCCTTTTATTCGCTATCTGGTTTGCAGTCCAATAAGGAAGAACTTTAAGAAATTGTAAACTGAGACTTGAAACTGTCCAAAAATCTCAGTACCCTTGAACGTTGAAAACTTCTAATGCTGAACTTCTAATGCTGAACTTCTAATGCTTCGAAACACCCAAATAATTCAAGTGATCTCGGCGTCATTTAACAGGGAAGAATGTCAGAAAGTGGCTTACCTTTTCTTGTAGATTGTTTCTGCTGTCTTCTGGTTCGGAAATTCGAGTTATGATATTCGATGGTAATGAGGCTTCATGGAGATCAATAGATTGTTGAGTTTAGAATTGAGAAAGCGGGATTGACAAGAGAAAGGACTTTATATACTGTACAATTAGTATAAAAGCTACGTAATTGCATGCTTGGCATGTATTACTGCTGGGCTGAGTATATTCACTTCTTCATCTAATTTTCTATATCCCAATATCGCGTCATGTGCTAGTCTCTTGGATTTAAAAAAAGGCGCTTGGCCGAACTCGGAAGCTCGCTAACCTAAAAATAGTGTGGACTTTCACGCTTAAGTCGTACTATGAATGGCATTTAGGGCTAGACAGGTGAATTTGAACTTGCTTCTTTGTACTAGAACTACTACTTTTGATAATTGGTTTGAGCTATGAATGAAAACTCATGGAGTAGATATTGAGATATAAATTGGCCAACGAGTAAGAAGTGATTATTGCTCTTCCTTGCCCTCTCGAATCTTGTTCAAGAATCAAAGAGGTATCAGACAGTAGTTCTTGTGATATGAGCTGTCTTTAGTGAACCTTCACTTGATCATCATCTTTTTCCCTATTTTTCATCGGGAATGGTAAAATCCGGGGTATTTGGGTACATTTGCATGTGCTAAAGTTACCTGTGATATCACTAGCGAATCAGTTCTTGACCTAACACATATGATGAATCATGTGCTGTTGGAAATTAGTAGGTAGCTCTGTTCACGCGTGACTCGCCATATTACTTTCGGGTTAGGTACAGTCCACGGCAGTCATCTGTCTACGTTACTACACATTAGGTATACAATGGTTCAATGTAGCCACCTGAGTGAGAGTTTCATAAAAAATTAGGTCAGAAAGCTGTTCCTCTAGCAAATTTTCAGTGATTAAATAGACATAAAGTTGTAGCCTTGGAATTCGAGGTTGGGCTACCTAGCAAGTTGATTAGTATAGGAATGATATCCATTCTGCACTTCATGAGTTTAATATTACTATCGGATATCATTGTAGGGTTTCTACGTGCTTCTGGATGTTTCAGAAAATTCTTTCTTAGCTCTGTACTGTTAGCTTTGGGAACTCCAATGTTGCACGTCTAGAAATTCTGCCACCGCCTGTTCAAGTTTTAGATACTGCTAGTCCCAAAGTTTCTTTCCGTTGTGATAAACTCCGAAGTTATAACGTAAAGATATCAAATAATACCATTAAAATCTCCACTTATATGCTTTGATTTTCGAGGGAAGCAGTACAGCGACGTTCAGAGTATAAGATACACTTACAGAGCTAACAGATGTTCTAAATCACAAGTTTTGCGAAAGCTGATACCCATATTATTCCTTCGACCCTCCATTTCTGGCCAAGATGTTGATTCTACCGTCTCCTTCTTCCAATATATCCGTACCTAGCTGTGTGCATGACATCGAGTTTATCTTGACTCTGTGTCGTCATGAGTAGGAATACGAACCCCCCTTAATGGAGTGAAGGGCACATACCCATTCCAAATTGTGGTTTGCCGAGGAGGTAGAATAGTCGACTATTTCTCATAATAGTCGTTGAAGTTTGTACCTGCCGCCGTGACTGGCCCAGCTCTGCTTTGTATTACTAGTAACAAGTTATCTACAAAGAATCCCATAATTCCATAATGTAGTTGAGCAGGTCCCGTGTATGTACAGATGATTGCAAATATTACATCATGGCGGAAGCATAGAGTTCAGCCTGTTGATTCCATCATAAGTGATTATTTCATGATTTATTTCAGGTCACTGACCGTTAGTTTGCAAGTTGCGGTCCAGCAATCAACCTAAGTATTGATTGAGAGAGAAGATACAGGAATATGATGGAAAATAATGATCGACGGAGTGCATTGTAGATTACAGAACATTGATTAATTATATCTAGGGTCTAAATAGTATGAAATGGATGTACACTACAACCTAAACATCGCTATACCGCTAGATTCATTGCACGGTTGATTGTGTTCTATCTCGATATAATGTGTGTATATGAACTGGAAATGAAGGAGGCGGGAACCGTCACGGAAGGATGCATCTAAAGCTATTGGTCTCAGACTAGGGTCTCCAATAGTCTAGTTCGAGAACAATTGATATTCCATTCTTGAAACTCACTAGAACGATGAAATACTTCAACTTTTTGACAATGGTGAAATGTTTCTAGAAACTGCTAGTTTATATCTTATCTCTTGGCCCGAACTATCGGACACGTTCTAGAATGCATGCAGAAGGAGAAATGTGAGTGTACAACAATTCAAGGACGTATGCTAACAGTTCCTTGACGTGTAATGAAGAAGGAGTTATGCTGCTGCGCTTGCTCTTGCTATCATGGTAATCATGTTCTGGAAGATTTCGTGAATCTGTCAGTTCTAAAAAATGTCGTATGCGTAGATGTCAATCAAGATATAATTTGTGGAATCAAGAAAAAAACACTAACAATGAGAAGACCCCTATGAACCGGAACATTTTATCTATTAACAGTAACAAGATTGAAGGATCGAAATTGCGATTGATGTTCTGTTTTGTAAATGTTTTATGATAGTGGACGTTGTCATTCCACGTCTAGTTAGTAGGTTCATAGTCGCAAAATTTCTTTTGAATGATCATCGAACATTTTCAAAGCTCCTATCTCTTGACACCAGCTAGTGAAATCCTAAGTTCGACATCTATGTTGATAACAAGATGAAGTGAAACTTCTCAACTCGGGTCTAGTCTCCACATGCTTACCTAAGATATCGCAACTCTCTTGTAACAGACACTACACTCCAGTATTTCTTGATTTCTCAACAGCCGCAGTTAACCCAATGATGATATGTACTCTTTTCCTTACATACAATGTGTACTATCGGATTTCCCCTTCCACCAATCACTAATCTTCCCCTGCTTTCCAATTATTTATGCATTCCTTGCATCATCTTAGTCCGACTATGGATACGTGCATATATCTAATCCTTATATCTACTAGCTTCAATGCTATTCAAGTAAACATCCAATCATTAACTTTCCTCAAAAAGCTTGTCTTGAGAAGCTCAAGTCCAAGCTTCTTTCCTGCTTACAGGAACAAGAGAACAAGTGTGATGTGAAATTCTGGGGGTGAGTGTAAATGTAATCTTAGCCAGTAAGCGCCTCCTCTTTCCCCAGCTGAAGCTCCTGCTCCCCCCCCCCCCCAAGTTCGGGTTCTACAGGTTTCAATTCGCTTTCCATCTCATCTCTGTCAATTTTATACCTATCAAACAATCATCATATATTTGTATACTCAACCATATATCCATTGAAGTATTTTTGTCACAAAGCATCAAAATATATCAACTTCAATATGAGTACAAGAAAGAGAAAGGCTGAAGACGAGGAGCTCGTCGCTCTTCCCTCGGATGAGAGCGAAGAGGAAGAGGAGTAAGTGTTGCACCTCTCCTCGATTCATTGTTCCCGTATACCTCTCAATGGGCTCTATCCATGATATCTAGTTGTCAGCTGCGTGTTAGTTGATTGGACTATAAATGAGTTACATTTGGGCATTGTATTTTTCTTTGGTATCGATTTACCGATCATCGCATGGCTTGATTGGATATATTTGGTTGCTCACTCTTTCATTAATGAAACCGTAACTAATCGGCGCATTTTAACAGGTATGAAGACTCCGATGCCGAAGCCGCAGCAGCAGTATCTGCTGCGTCAGATGAGGACGATAGTGACGAGGACGAAGAAGGATTAGAAGAAGAGGAAGTTCAAGGTATGCGGCGCGATGCGACAAGTTGCAAAAATTCATCCTTCCATAGCCGTTAACTCTTGCAAACATGCTAACGAATACATTTATAGAAACGGCACCACCATCCAAAAAGCGCAAAGTCGTCACCAACGATGTATCTGTCGATGAGAATGAAATTGTTCCTATCGACGACGACGAAGATGGTGATGACAACGAAGCCGAAGCCGAAGCCGAAGCCGAGCCCGATGATGATGGAGTAGAAGATGAAGAAGATTCCGCTGCCGAGGATTCGGTTGGCGGCTCTGGACCTACCAGTAAAGCTGCTGAAATAAAGGGAGGAGTTGTTCCTGAAGAGGACAATCTGGATGAAGTTCCAGAAGCTGTTGCTGATGATGAAGATGATGAGTAGATAAGCTTGCTTATCGTCGTATCATTTTTACGATGCGCGGTGTATCCACCTCAACTTAGAGACCGTGCGGGATGCGAAATAAGAAATGAATGGATGAGATGAGTGATGGATTTTTGGGCGGAAATTTATGGGCAGCCGATGAACAACAGGAAGTTGGCAATCTGGTTGGTTTGGATAGATGTAATAGGCAACAAAAAAAGGGGCGGAGCGAAAATTGTTGTGTGGATGTAGTTGTTTTCTTTATTCTCTTGTTCTAAGTCGACCTAGTTCTTCAGAACTTCTATATATTCTCTTCTTAATCTCATCAAATGTCATAATGTCTCCATTGAAATTTTGGTCGTCAAGTCCATGCACTGGCGACATTTGAGCAAATGAGTACGAGCACCACGCATCGTTGGCGTATTCCTACCGCTGCAACCAGGTAGAGCGCCGATAGTACAGATAGATAGTTTTGGAGCCAAGTCGCACTTCTAGCCACTCGAAATAGCGGTATCCTACTTGCAATTTTAATTTGACCGCAATTGTAATTGTTAACATCCATTGTCAGCTACCTAATAACAATGTCTCTTCGTTTTAATTCAGGCGATGATT